TGAAGTGTGAGTAGCCCGTTTTCGGGCTTGGATTAGGAAGTTATTGCCAACCTAGATGCTAAATAGGTGATTATTGCATAAGGGGGAAGAACCCTAACCTAGGTTTCATTTGTTTGTGAAGGATTTATGTTGAATCTTGTTAATATTTGATACGTAACTCTTATTATAACTTGCTTTTGGATAGTTTTTCTCCACAACGAAAGTTGGGTGAAGAACTTAAGTCTCTCATTTCTCAAACCATTTTCTTTCTATGAAAATAGGGAAGAATTGGGGGCCTAAATGCTTATGTGCTTTAAGAGCTAGGAATTGATACACCACGAGAGTGGGGCAATCCTTGCTCTAATCCTTTTCATTTAGCTCATGAAAGTGGTTTTAAGCTAGGATTTCTATGTGCATTTCCTTTATGTTCCTTTGGTTAATGTTCTCCCCTAATCCCTAAGTTGTTAAAGCATCTAGAAGGCAACATCCCCTAATTTGAGCCCATTTTTTATTATTGTGTTTACTCGTGTTTAAATTGCATTTTCTTAACTAGACTTTTAGCCTTTAATTGGTGACATTTACTCAACCTTGTTTATGAATTTGCTTGGATTCTTGTGGGTTCCAATGCTTTGGTGTCTAGAACTTTAGTTGTCACTCAAGTACGTGTTATAGTCCCAATCCCACCCGTATACTCACTATATCTTTCCCGTACATCAACTTTTTCACATGCATAAGTCTAAGGGACATGGAGTTTGGTGGCTACTTTTTATGGAAAAATTGAATTAGCTTTAAATATTATTAGTATTTCCAAGGGAAAATGGCACTTTTTCCCCCTGAGTTATATACTTATAGTACTTTTTCCCCCTCAATTATTTAAGTTCCCATGCATTATGTTTATTTTATAGTTCCCATGCATGTTTTTAATATTTGCAACTCTTCAATTTTTCTTAATTGTCTATTTAAACTGACTTTTGTATTGAGAAGTTTAAATTGGAATACAATAGAAAGTCTTTGAGTTTGAGTTATATTATTTGTGTGCTTCCTGTTCTCCTTGTCCTACATCATATTTCCATAAAGGTTGAATCCCCAACACGAAGGGTCCTCCACACCCCAGCTCGATAGAGCAGACCTTTACTTACTGTGCACAAGGAGTCCCCTCACTTTAAGAGATTGCTCATACACACTGTCATGTGAGACTCGATGCCTGATCATTCTTCTTAAGGCCAACTGAGTTGCTCATGCGGACGTACGTCTATCTATCTTAAATGCATGTAATGCAACATTATATTATTCGATATGATGTTTTCTTGGAAAATGAATGATACTCGTAATATTAATTAGTCAATAGGCTATCCTTACCCCTGCAAATCTCTTCCACTTTTAAAAATGTATCCCGCCAAACACATTGTATTCAGATGGCATGTGCTTCATTTGGTTGAGAAAGTATGTTTGAACAGATACTATAATGTAATAGAGTCAGTAGCATTCAAAAAAAAGTGTCTCACTTCCACATCATCACATTTTCAAATCATTTACTATTCACACTACATCCTTGCAAATCCAATCAACTTTCAAAAACGACCCCAGTTTCACATCACTTTAAAAAATTAATATCTTTTTCTCAATAAATATTATTTTCTCTTCAACATTATTAATTTATATCAATATATAAATTATATTTAAATATTAAAAATAACAAAAATAAAAATCTAAAAACAATTTTTTTATTTAAATTACTTTAAATATTAAAAATAGCAATACTAAACATCTAAAACGTAATTTAAAAAAAAAATAATTTAAGAAATTATTCGTAGTATGTATAGTATTAGTATATAATCGAATGCAAATTATACCACGATTTGAATTGTAAAACTAAACCTCAAATGAACCTTACAAATTCGAAGTAATTGGAATCATTAAAATTAATCAAGTACAAATTTGAAGACATTGAAATCATTAAAATTAAACAAATTACAAATACGAAGACACTGAAATCATTAAAAATTAAGAAATTACAACTAACCGATTATATTGAAAGCAAATACATTTATTCATTTATTTTGTCTCCACCAAACCGATTTCATATCTCCTCGATCAAGTCTTCTTGTAGTTGATGGTTTGTTGGCCTATTGCGAATCCTTGCATGATTTCGAATACAATGTAAGGTGCGTGATTTTTGTGCTTAAGATGCATGGTTTGTGTGCTTTAAGGTGCGTGATTTTTGTGCTTAATGTGAGTAGTTGTTAAAATTTAAGGTGCGTTGTTTTCCTTCGTAAGATGCGTGATTTGTATGCTTAAGGTTCCACCGGAGAAACTCCAATCCATGGAATTGATTCACAAAATACTGAACCTGCTTGCTTCTATCATCACACTAAATGCCCTCATCTTCTTCTCACCGCCCTATCTCATTTTCAATATTCTACGCTTTGTCTTGCGTTCTGTTTTCCAGAAAAAAGGTCACCGGAAAAGTCATTGTCATCGCCGGAGCGTCGTCTGACATCCGCAAGGTGGGAACTACTGAAATACTTTAGTTTCTCATGTATTTCTTTACATTATTATATTGAGGAATTAAAAATTTCTTTTTCTATTTCAACTATATATGCTTTTCATGATGGATTGATGGTTAGCTAAGGTTTATTCATTTATTGTGACTGAATAAAATGTAATATACTGTACTGTCGAATTAAAATATATATGAATGCTTTTTGGGTGACATATGGAAGCATTTAGCGTACAAATATGCATGCAAGGAGAGGAGCATACTTATTTCTAGGGGCAAGAAGGGAGAAGAGTGTTGAAGGTTGCAGAAAGGGCGAATAGGCTTGGCTCTCCCCATGTTCTTGTGTGAAAAGCACGAAAACTAACCCGTTTCATTAGATGTAATTTCATTGTAATTGTATTGCAATTTGTTTCTTTCCTCAATTACAATGTTTTGTGGCAATTTATATCTTACACCACGATGCGTGTTGCATTGTGCGCCCAGATGCACAACGACGTCGTTTCAATTTTTTTTTTTTTTTTTTTTTTTTTTTGAAATTTCCCATCCAGTGTTTGGCAGTTAATTTGTCTTTAAAAAAACCTATGTTCAAAAATGTACATAATTGTATACATGAATGTACATAATTGTATAACAAAATATACATACTGTTTTTTAAATATAATACACATAATCTAACATAATACATAATAAACATAAACTTTTAACCTAATACACATCAACTCTTAACATAATACACAAAAATTTCCTGATTCGGATGTACATAATTGTATAAAAAAAAGTGTACATAATTGTATAAAAAATATACATAATTGTATGAACAAATATACATAATTGTATGAACAAATATACATAATCACAGCAACTTCCTACCGCGCCTCCCAAAACGACGTTGTTTTGGGAGGCGCGCGGCGCACAGTGCTACACGCGCCGTGGTGTAGGGTATAACGATTGATGTTTTGTTGGAGGGAATTGCAATTCCCTCCATTCACTGAATTGTAATTTATGACACCCCCTAAGAATTCTAATTCAATGGTGGAATGGGAGAAATATATTGCTGTGAAGACAATTTTACCCCTGTCATTGTTCTCATCTACTCCCTCATTTATTATTACATAATGGCGTTTAAGTCATTGTATCACTTATTTCCTTTCAATTCCCTATAATCTGCATACCAAATACTATAATTTGAATTCATACTTTATTCCCACCTTATTCTTTTCCCACCAAATTACAATTCATTTCCCCCTTAATTCATTCCTTCCAACCAAACACACTGTAATAATCCTACGACAAAGGATTATTATTTTCTGAGAAAATTGGAAATTTATGGAAAGAAAATAATCACAGGGACGAAGGGATTTTAAGGGTAGGTTGTAAGTACGAGTCGAGTTGCACTCTCTCGTTAAAACCTTATTTGCCGTCTCCCAAGGGTGCTAGGAGCGTTACGGTCAGGTTTCCCAAGATAAAACGTACTACGATTCCGAGTTTGAGCACTCAAACTATGGAATCCGGCGAACTAGAACTTCGGGAGAGTTTCGAGAGAGAAAACATAATGATTTGTTGTGTATCAAAATTTGTTGCTCTACCATCAACTTATATATATATATATATATATATATATATATATATATATATATATATATATATATATATAGGTACTGAGGATTAAATAACACTTAGTTCAGGGCAGTAAAATTGATATTAAATCAGCTTTGTAACACCTATAACAGCATGCCAGTACCTGAGAATTAATTCGAAATTTTAAAATTAAAAAAATATGAAATTAATTCCGTAACATACATTTGAATTAATCCTCCAAACGGAGCAGGCCAGTACCTGAGAATTAATTCGAAATTCTAAAATTGGAATATGGAATTAATTCCGTAACATACATTTCTGGCTTTAAATTTTGCATGTGTTTGATTTTTTCAACTTTTATTTTCTTAGCGGAAGCCTAAAGGCTAAGTCTACCCCAAGTGGTTAGGGGATTGTTGGACAGGACACTTGAAGATCAAGTTCAGTACACGTTTTTCAAAAATGTGGTGCTGACTACAACGCAAGTATAAGAAAATATAATTGTTTCTTTGTTGGTAGTTATAATTTTTGACGTAGTGAGAATTGATTATATAGCAAGTTATGTCTTCACTACTAGCCAGGGACGGATCTATAATGGGGCAGTTGTCCCCTTCCGAAGTATATATATAGTAAATGTTTAGATAAAAGTAAGAAATATAGATCTAATATAGAAGTAAAGGCAGGCAGGATGCTTGTAATTGCATCATCTGGTACTCGGCTAAACGCTCCAAGGCTGAGCTTCTATAATGTATGTTAACTCTTCCATCTCTCTCATATATTCTTCCCATTAATCTGCATATATATTCTCTCATGGTTTGTTTATTATGTTCAAATGGTCTTTGCTATTTTAGGCAAGCAAAGCTGCAGTTGTAAGCTTTTATGAGACCTTAAGAGTAGAACTCCTCCAATCAGATATCGGAATAACCATTGTAACCCCGGGGCTAACTGAATCAGAAATGACCAAGAGATTTTTTCTATAAAATGTGTTTGCTACAAGGTTGAATTGAGTGTGATGCCAATAGAACCAGCAGAGAAGTCTGCAAAGGCAATTGTTAACAGTGTATGAGAATGACATTCTACAACCTATTTCTCCCACAAGTAATAAACTGGTTTAGCCGCTGGCTGTTAATCATCAAACCTGGAAAATCAGCAACACAAGCTGAGAAACATTGCATGAAATATACATGAAATAGTCCATGTACAAGACAACATAAATTAAGGATTTAAAAAGTGATTGAAAATCTGAATATACAAAAAATGGAAGGAAATCAGTGCATAAATAACTCTAAAATTTGAGGTTTTGGAATAACAGAAAACATCTACGGAAGAGAAGAAAACATACCAACCATCTATTGAGCAGGAAAAACAGAAGACAGAAACAGTTCATCTTCCTTAAAAACCTCAAGGTTGTTTAGCTTCATCAGGAAGCTGATAGCCATCTTATCAAACTTGACGATGCACCCCAACCTGATGAGTTCAGCAAGCTCACGCACTGCATCTTCTTTCTCCCACAATATCCCCTTGGAAACTTCTTCTGAGTAATACGTAGCATATTCCAGGACACCTTGGTAACCTTTCGATTTCTCAATCTCTGTGATGAAGAACTTGGACCTCTCTCTCTCCCACATCATCATTCTCCTTGCCTCAACAATCACAATTTTCCCAGACGAGAGTGATAGCATATAGTCCACTATAATTGGTTCTTTCAGCCTCAGAAAGCTTGTGTTCATGAGCCGCCTCACCGACTCGTGCCTCTTCTCAGCTTCCATCTCCAGAGAAGGCTGAGCTAGGAAACCAAGAATGAGAGTGAACATGGTTTTCCCAATGAAGAACATATCCGGATTGGCCATTTCCAGCCTTGCACACTCGATTGAAGAAAGTCCCATATTCCGGGCACATTCTGAGAGAGCCCCAACACCAATTTCTCTGTAGATATTGAGAAGCTTGGTTCTGGGCAGGGATGGAGGGCTTGGCTGGGGGTACCAAACAAACAGAGGATCCACACAGCTTTGTTCAAAAAGTTCCTTCATGAAGAGATCGTCGGCTATAAAAACGTCGTTTTTGTAAAGCAACAAAATCCCATCATCCTGGACTGAACAAACAGGAAGTTTGGATACATTCTCTGCAACAAGTTTCTGTGTCTCTAAGCTCCAATGGTTCACTATAAACTCCCAAAAGGCACAGCACTCAGAAGGCAGTAATCTCCTCTCTGCACACTCCCATTCCGTCCAAAGCTTTAAGTAGTGTTCCAGACTAGGATTGCTATTAACTCCCAAGTTGCTGAAGAAATCCAGCAATTCATTGTTGTAATACTTGTCCAAGACAAACAAGTGTGAACCAAAAAGATTGGTTTTATCATGGAGAACACAATCCTTAGGACTCACCCACTTTCCACTATTCTCCCCATTGGGAATCCATATCTTTGCACTTTCATCACTGCTACAAACCCAACTGTAATTGTTCAAGTACGTATATATCCGATTGATTGTGGCGCGATCAGAGTGCACATCAAGGTAATCAGCAACCAAGGAGCATCCATTTTTCGCCCCAACCACTACCCCCAAAGCCTCAAGTTGTTTCGCGTATGAGAACAGAATTTTTGAGCCGCCATAAAACTTGTCATCTATGAAGGGACCATCTTTTTTCTTCAGCCTACCATTCCAACTAGAACCAAATAGCAAACACTGTTTTGGAGATCGATAACCTGCTTGAGTCTTGATCCACTTGCAATCGAGTTTCTCCAAGAGAACGGAGATCAGATCCTTGTCACCATCCTTTTGTAAATTCCTTAAGCACAACAGAAGTGAACACGCAACAGAAGGCGAAATTTTACCAGGATTCTTGGGCATTCGGAGCCCTGCAGGAACAAACTTTGAGCCTTTTTTGAAAGTGGTAGTGACGCCCATACTACGAAGCTCCGCTTTGTACTCAGAATAAGCATCATTTAGAAATGGTAACAGACAGACAGAAGAAATGGCTTCCCAATCTTTACCAAACAAGATGCACTCTTTGGGTGTACAGGCACTACCAATTCTTGTTCTAAGCCACTTCACCTCTTGAATGACTTTCCCTATATCTTCATCTGACTTTAGTAAATTCAAGCACTTTGCTTTCTTTAACTTCCGGTAGGTTTCCAGGAGAGAAAGTGCATTCCTCTTACTCAATGCGCATTTGGATGTCTGCTGTCTAAAAACTTGAGCAAATGACTTACAAACTGCCTCAAAACTAACCACAACACCCAACATTTGAAGCTCATTCTTGAACGAACTGATTTTACTCCCATAGAACTTCTCGTCAATACAAGGAAAGCCATCAAAAACCAGAAGAAGGCTAGCCCAGGTTGGATCTGGTAAGAAACATTCAGCAGGAGATCTGTATCCATTACTCACAGTCTTTAAGCATCTATTGCCCGCGAGGGCTATGCATAGACTATCAGAAGAACCTAAATTTAGGTGATGAATACAGTTTAGTGCCAGGAGAGCTGCTTCAGCACTTAGTGAAGTCAATGACCCTGAAGGTTTCAAGTTGGAAACTACTAGCTGGAAATTTTGATTGTAACCAAAGACGACTCCAAGAAGCTTGAGTTCTTCCTTGTAAGCAAGAATCTCCTGACCATAATGATTTTGATCTAGAAATGGGATGTCGCTGATCTGTGATGCAGCAGCCCATTCATTATCAAGAAACACAGATTGGCCTGGGGTCTTGTTGCCTTGAGTTGTCTGGACCCAACTCTCATCTTTGATACTGTTGATGAAGTTATCAGGAGGGAGAACTCTAGCCCTCAAATACCTAATGAAATTCAGCATCGAAATGACATCACCTTTTGTCAATGTAGAAGAAGCATACAGAGACATAAAGTGCTTCCCAATAAATTCACTGGCTTCGTTTAACTCAAACATAACACCAGCAATTCTCAGAGCTTCTTTATACACCCCAGAAAGCTTATCACCATAAAACTTCTGATCAACTAATGGAATATCAACAGGCAAAGATCTATTCTGCAAATGATCTCCCCAGGACGAGGAAGGTAAGAAGGATTGTGATGGGGGCCTGTAGCAAGGATTACCACATACGCGCACTCTAAGCCAGCTTCCTTCCCTTATGCATTTCAAGAATCTCACCGGAATCTCTTTCTTTTCCATTTTATGAATCCAACGTAAAAGCAGGAATGCATTAACCCTGGTTAGTGGGGAAGCCATACTGGATAGTGAAACATCTGGAGGAGGTAAATTGGGAATATCCAAAACACCAGCATAAGTCTTAAGAAATGGAAGGAGCTTTTCTTTCTTGGTAGACACACCAGCATAAATTTGAGCATGCAAATATTCTCCTCCCAATTCAACATAACCCGCTTTTTTCCATGGATTTGATGAACCAAGAAGCTGCACCCATTTACTTCCATTTGCAGGTACAACAACGCGTTTCATTTCAGTGTCCACCCGCCCACAGTCATCAACGAGCGGCATGTCAACAGCAAGCAAATCAATTTGTGTTGCAGACAAATACTTGGAATTGTGCTTGAATGAGTGATACAGGAAATGTGCATATGCAAGGACAAGCTTCTGGTCATAAATCAGTGAGTCCCGGATCGTAACTGCATAGTCATGCACATCAACAGACTCCACACTCGCCTTACTGCAAAGCCAATCGAACACTTTCTGCCACTTAGAAGGGCTACTGTGAAGTGCTTCCTGTGTTGATTCAGCAATGAAATCTCCCGCAACGCAATGAAACTCTCTATTCCAACTAGTCAGCCATGATACTTCATCTGAGCAAGTGCACAGAAACAGCGTTTCTGTAGAAGCAGAATCAACACTACACAATGACACATGCAGGTTACTGTCAGTATACTTCAACAATGGTATGTCCACCATACTCGTGTTTGAAAATGACTCCCAGTTGTCAGCAACAAATAACAGAAGTTCCAGGTATAGATCCTCTGAGACACCCAAGACAAGATCAGAACTCTGAATGCAACTCGAATACCACTCGTATTGTACACACTTTACATCCAAAAACTTCAAAATGTCATTGTACTTTTGATCAAATGCATGGTTCAGAATATATTCCCCATGGGAAGAGATGTTGAGGAAATTGACCCCTTGCTTCCTTGCCTTATTCACCAACTTCCAAAACTCAGGCTTTAGCCTTCCAACTTGACTTGGTTTTCGGAAAAACTTCTGTGTTGTATATGACTGACACGGCATAATATCCTCCTGGAGAAGTTTCTCTCTGATTGAGTCTCTGATTGTGTTAATAGTGGAATATGGAGAAGCTTTAAGTGGCAGAAAGTTAAACATATGAACTAGAGTAGAAGTGGGAGCATCTTGGTTGGCTTTAACTAAGGAGGTGAATGCTGCTAAGAAGGCCACAGAAACACATTCCAGAATTCCCTTATTCCATTTGTTATCCAAAAGAATGGCCTCCCTGGACGAGGATAGCAAGAAGTCGGCCTGAATAATGAAGGGGAAGTTGGTGACCATTTCTGTAGGAAGAAAAGCATAAACCCCAGGAGAGATATTTCCACGTTTGAGGCGTTCTCCATAAGGAAACGCAAGGGTGATCACCCACTCATCAACCTCCATTCTCCTACCAACTCTGCATTCTTGCTTAACTGGGAATCTTTGCCTCCACATATGGTAACTGCATTCTCCATTGCTCCCAGCAGCAGCGGCCTTTTCGTCAGCAGAAAGAACCAGCAGGAAAGACTCAGCATCAATGTTCTTCTTCCCCACAAGATCTCTCTCGCTTGAAATGGAAACAGCGCTAACAGTATTGAGCTTTGGATCCTGGTTTTCTTCCCTGACCGAAAGCTCCCTTATCTTTGAAAGAAACAAGAGAAGCTCAGGATGAATGGTTGAAAGCTGCTGCTTAACCGGCGCTACCTTGTCAGACTTGAGCGGCAAAACCATAGTTGTGGGAGGAAGGTTCGTTGAAGAACCATAGATTT